TGAATGTATTAATAAAAAAAAAAAAAAAAAAAAAAAAAAAAAAAAAAAATAAAAAGAAATAGAAAATATTAAATAAAATCATCTATTGTTCTTAAGTGTGATAACGATGGAATTTCGAAATAATTCTGCACGCTAGTTAAATGTCAGATCGTGTCTATTACCACTGAGATATCTTCATTTACTTTCCGGCAATACAGCTTTCAAATTTAATAACTCTACCTACCTACTATACTACTACTATTACTACTACTACTACTACTACTACTACTACCCTCTTGGTTTGATAAGCATGATTGCATCGGATTTTCATGAGAGTTCGAGATTAAACGCCTCTAGCAAAATGAACATTTCTAATGATTTCACCTTGAAACACGTATTTTGAAAATTGTTAAGCCAAAGAATAAAACGAAAAAGGAAAACTTTGCAGTATATTTTTTATATCACAAATAATCCTATTGTACAATTTATATTTTTATAATACAATTGTATCTAATCCTATTACACGATTTCTATACAATTTTGTGTGTGTGTGTGTGTATTTTTTATTTATTTATATGATATAACAAAGAACAGAAAAAACAAATTTCTAATACATGTCATTTGCATTGCTATGGAATACAATTTTTTTTTTAATTTGTATTTCTTATATATATACATATTTTTAATATTAATTAAATAATTTATTGGAGTACGTTTTGTACAATTTTTCAAATAATAATAACAATAACAACTGCGTTATCGTGTCGAGAATATATTAATAAATAAACGTAAAATTAAAAATAAAATAAAGAAATGAGTTCATTTGTTTATTTATTCGAAAAAATGTGTTACTATAAAATCCATGCATGGTTATATGCAAAGATGGAAACATACGAGTGGTGCTGAGTCAATGAAATGAGTGTCTGGGTTATACAGTAACCCTTATATTCTAACTTTCATTATTTTTCATATGTTTCATGCATATATACATATATATATATACTTATGTGTGTATGTGTATACATGTTAGAATGTATTTAAACGAGAACACACAGACTACGTGACTAATACATTTTTCCATTCTTTCCTCCTTTTTTTGTTTTTATTTTTTTTGGTTTCCTTAGTTCGTTACTTTTTTTCATGAATATTTTCTATACAAACCCTTATTTTATTATTTTATCTACAATATATACAAGTATTCAACAGAGATTCAATTTTTACAGACAATATACATACATATGTATGATATATACTTTAATATTTACAAAACCAATGAAAATTTGATTTTCCATAGGGGGAAAGAAAAAACAAATGGAAATCTTAAAAAATAAAATAGACAAACTTTTAAAACACATTTATTTTTGATTATATAAATATATTCTTTCAATAATGTATAATATCACATAAAAAAAAAAAACATAATTAAATGTATATACGTGTGTGTATATACTCTGTATATTAGAATTATTTAATATCATTTATATCATACGAGTGTTATTCTTATCTACAACACGTAATCTACTATTCTTTGTTTTTTTTTTTTCTTCAAAGAAATAACGAATATGTAATCACGTTGTGAGATAACGATAAGGGATGGTCCTTGAACGAAATCGAAACATAACAGCAATTTAGGTGTGCCAGGAATGAATAAAAGCCACCTTTTATCTGTTTCAATATATATTTATGTATATACCTATTTATAGATATACATATATACCATAGATATATTGTATTTTTACGAGTATATACGTAAGGTATACATATTTCTATGTGTATGTATGTGTATATATATGGGGGAACAAGGAGGTGGGTTAAAAACGTATAGAAACTTAGGTGTTACTCTTAAGACAGGTCAGACATTCATCATTTTTCTTTTCCTATTTTTTTTTTCTTTTTCTTATTCTTCTTGGAAATAAATTGAGCTTCAGTACTGAGGAACGTTTTGATCCACTTTATGAAATGCATCGATTCCCCCCCCCCCCGCCCCCTATCCACCTTTCGAACACTTTTATAAAGTGTTTTTGGGAACGTGTATACTTGCGATAAGTAGAACACGTGCATGTTGCACAGTAATAAATTTACAAATCAACAATCTTTTTTTTCTATTTTGTTTTATGCACACTTTTCCATTTCATTTCTCCTTGATTATTAATTTTAATCAGAATTTAGTTGTAAAATCAAAAAACAAAATCGTTCAATTTTTTGTATATCAAATGTATAAGATTTTTTTTAATTTTTCTTTTTTAATATTATAATACGAATTTAAACGCGTAAGCGTGTGTGAATATATTTGTATGTATTTTATTTTTTTTTTTTTTTTTTTCTAAAGAAAAAGACGAGAATAATTTATAAAAAGTTTGAACGAGAGAACTTCGAAGGGAGAAATGTTTTTTTTTTTTGGTTACTTTCCCATAAAAAGCCGTGATAAATTGTTTTCTGTTACGTTGTTGCGATGTGTTGTTCATCGAGTTATTAATTAAGTTTTATTGATTTTTTTCTTTTTAAACGAATTTGTTAACTATATTCTTTTTATTATTTTTTCGATTATATTTTGAGAATGAAGAGATTTATTTAATTCGATCATTTACAAAATGTAAACAATTTTATGATTAATACCAAGTATTAATAACGTTTAATATATTTAATATCTGTACAATTGTTTTATATAAATAGATAAATAATATATTTCTTTTATTTATATTTTACAGTAGAATTGTGTATCTTTGTTTGAGAACGTTTTAAATATATTCGAGAATCATTATTATTAATGAATAAAATATTTAGATATATTTTTTAAAAAAATTTCTATTAATAAAAATTATTGAGAGAATTGTTTTATGTTTAAAACAATAAATTATCTCAGAAATCTTAGAAAATTTTCTGATAAAGTGTACGTTGATTTATAGTAGTCTAGGGATATATTCTAGTATTTGATGGAATAAGAGAAAAATATAGTGAATTAGACAAAGAGAAGAGAGACTACGAAATGGTCCAACTTTACGACTAGAAATATTTTATTTCATCCTTTTTTTTTTATTTTATCTCTCTCTAAAAACGACTGCAATGCAGATGTTATAAAATTTACGCATCCGGTATAAAATCGTATACGCTATCAGGCTTAACCATATATATATATATATATGAATTTCCTCTTAACAAAACGAGCTTTGGGAATGATACGACATAGAAATACTTTTGACATTTCGAATTACACGAAACTTCATCCGTGAAACTAACATTTTCATCGTCCTGAGCTATCGTATAAAATAAATATATATTTCGTGATATAGAATATCAAGTAAAGTATTCGATCATTTTATACATGTATAATGATGCATTGATATTACGTTTATACGGATTCATTCGTAAATAATATCAACGTTTGAATATATTTCTTTTGTATTTGATATAAATAATATTTGTGAAGAAATGTTTATATTCTTTTAATGTTAATTTAATGCATGAACATGATTGTATAAATGTAAAAATGAATTTCAAACGTTGGAATATCGTATCACGTTAAATATAATTATTTGATAATATATCGTATTTATTTATTAATTACAAATCTTTAATTTAACGTTGCAGAAATTTATATATATATTTTAATATATCTAAATATATAAAAAAAAGAGTAATAATAATAATAAAAATAGTCAAAATTTTAAATTAATCGTACGTTATAATATTATCTATCAATAAAATATCAACAATTGTTTAACTAATTGTATTCAATATCTGAACGTAATATTAATTATAAATAAATATAATTGTTGCAGTAATATTTCATCATATTATTATGATATTTTTTGATCGTGATAACTCATAGGAGAATATAATTAATCAAGTTATATGACTCTATTATATATAATTTATAATAATTAAATTTTCCTCTTGTGTGGTGGGGAACACGTGCAAACCACGGGGTTTTATGGGTTCATCGAGTTACTAGAAAATTGTGTAGCTCGATCGATAACAACGGAAACTATACTTGAACATTGGTAAAATGAGAAAGAAAAGAAAAAGAAAAGTAAAAAGAAAGAAATATACCAGGTGTCACGATAATATAAAGAAAAAGTATAGTAGTGCATAGAATATAGACGAGGACATATGATCGAGGCTAGTTTCTTCCATTGTAGTTCTAACCAGTGTTCAATTCTATCGAACTAGACCCACTAACCGCGACACACGTTTTTCTCAATCGATTTATCCAACTTATAAACATTTGTCTCCTGTGTGTGTGTGTGTGTTTGCATAAATTCCTTACTTTATAAAAATTCCAATTAGGATGTGTGATATAATAATTAATCGATATTTCTAACAAATACTATGATTATTTTTATGAGTTAAAATTAAAATCACTTTGAACACAGGTTTATTCATAAAAATGTGCATACAAATTGACAATATTGTATATTGGATAATGTACGTGTAAGATTAGGGTTTCCTAACCGTATAGAAATTTCATTTTAGAATATCTGATAAAGATGCATAAATAATTGATTTGACTATGAAGAATACATTGATTATTTTTATGAATTCAATTGAATCACTTTGTCCTACATGTTCATTAATACACTGTCCATACAAATTTACAATATTAAATATATATATAT